GTCGATCTCCTAGCGAAGGAATCCTTATCCCTCCTGTTGGGATCAACGGAGAACTCCCTTTCACAGACAGACTTTAACAGTAAAGTAAATAAGTAGGATAAATCATGACCTAACGTCATAACGAATGTAATCATTTTTTAGACCATTCTGATATTATTAGCTAACAAATAGATCTGGATAAGGAAAGTTCAAATGACTAGTCTAGTGGCCAAGTAGCCCCACTAAAAAGACTTACAAAGTTTTCATGCCGGAAGTGAGGATTGGAAAAGGAAGATTTCTTTTGTTTTAAGCAACACTATTTTAGATGTCTTCCGGCAAACAAAACAGTACTAAAATAAACATAAACAAAGTGAACATAAATCGTACGATTCAAAAGTTGAAACTTTAAGAAGATGCATTTATATGGATTGTTGTCGTAAGAATAAGATGACTTGACTGTGATTCGCAACCAAAACAAACCAAACGCTAGGAGCATACTACACTCGTGCTTTGCGTTACAATAGACCACGATGAAAAAGACTCTTTCAACAACGAAAGATTCAGGTTTAAAGGACATTGATGTGCTTATTCCAAATGTAGCTAGTTTTTGTCTATAAGGTCAGGTTTTGGCAGAATTCAAATATTTAATTTCAGATATCCTTGGGAAGGTCGGAATAACAGGCCCTATTAACCAAGGGAAGTAGCTTTTATTAATTAAAGAAAAGTAATTAGCCAAGTGTGTTATATTTGTATAGTATCTAAAATCGTATTTCTCTATGCCCTATTACTATTGATTAAAAGTTTAGACTCCTTTCATTCCTACAGTCTGTTGTAAATATGTTTGTAATGATAGAAATAAAGGTAACGAAACATTCGAAAAACAATGTAAATAAGTTAAACAGTGTTTTAAAATTGTGACTAGAAGTGACTAGAACATTTCAAATTCGTTAGATGATCTTTTAATGAATTTAGTGTCTACTGCCCATCCACAGTGTTTTTCTTGTGTACTTTTACAAAGTAGGGGTGTGCAAGTAGATCTAAGCGAATAACCTTGGTCGTAAATGATTGAGAAATTGAAATCTTGACCAAGAAATCTTGATCGAGCATGGGTCAAAAGTCATTGCCTGCGTTGTAGTACGCATTGACTCGTGAACATATTGTTTGATAATGTAGCCTAGGCCTAGTTTAAAGAGCTCCACTGCTGATGTGTGGCTCTAAATAGCTCATTGACACGCTGTCCGTCTTCGACGGTCCGCCTTGGTATGCAAAGGTAGGTGGCAATTGTAGAAGATGCGTAAGAGGTTGCTTTTTTTCCGGTTTCCAGCCTAGTGTGTTCCTATCTCAAGGATAGTTTTATGCGTATTCAGTGTGCTGGTAGACGCACTCTGGCGTAATTCCGGTTCAGTAGATATCTATGGTGAACACGATTTTTCTAAATTTGGAAAAAAAATTAGTATTAATAAGGGCAACGTAAAGAGTTGTTCCTACTCTCTACTATTGAGGCACTGGGAGACTGGTGTTGGACAATTTGTTTGGGCACCTATAGTGACGCTTTGCAACGATTTTTACAGAGGGCAAAGAGCGGCTGCCTTAACATTGCAAGATCTGAGAATATGATAATTCAAGTTTGTACTTTGCTTACAGAAGGTCAGATGGCGAATATAGTTCGCGGAGTAATTTATGCAATTTTTTGTTATATTTCACGTATATAAGGATTAGGCTACTTTACCAGAAGTGCAAAGCTAAAACAACTCCAAGTGGGGCATAGTTGTTGTTTTTTTTTTAGATCAAATATACACATAACAAATTCAAACGCCACATGGTAGACCAAATTACACCTAAGAAATCCAAATATACAAATGACGTCATCAAAAGTCCAAATACAACAACAGTAAGTTCAAATGTTAATGTAAACATTGCAATCTCAAATGTATCAAATAGGACTTTCAATGTCAACAAAGCAAGTTGAAATGCGTATATTATTCTTGAACTGGACAAATGAGGAATGTATCAATGTAAGAAGTAAAACAAAAGAAGAAAAAAAAGGGGGGGGGGGGCGGGAGTTGCCTCAAAGAGAGACAGATGTAAGCCCTGCCAGACAGAAATCACGAGAAACTAATTGTTGAATGAAGCAAAACAAAAAATACAGACACAATTAACAAGTATAAAAAAGAATGCATTTGTTAAAAATCATTAGTATGCTGGTACATACAGGACAAATTTGCTGAAATATAAGGCCAAGTTTACTTTTATTTACCTGAAATTCTTCCACTTCAAGACGTTGCGGCATACAGGCTTGCATTGCACGAGAACGAGGAAGAAGAAAAAGAAGAAGCTCTGAAGGCAGCTGTCATATTCACTACAGTCACTGCTTGTGATTTTGGTTCCATCAACTGGGCAAGTGTGACTGTCCTTTGTTGACGAGTCTGCAGAGTGAGCATAATATGGTCTCTTGCTTCAACAGGCCTTTGTTTCAAAACGTTATTTCCAAATTAAGAAACGTCTCGTAGATGTTCAGAAAAAGTGTGTAGAAGCAAGATAATATTTCACTTCAAATCTATTTGTAAAGTTGCTATTTATCTTAGCTTATCTTTTATATAACTAATTTGAGGAAATGTAAGGCCAAGTTTACTTATATTTACACAAAGTATCATTGCACTACAAGATGCTTCAGCATAGGATTGCAATTCTGAAGGTAGCTGTCTTATTCACTATAGTCATAGCTTGGGTTTTTGGTTCCATCAACTGGGCAAGTGTGACTGTCCTTTGTTGATGAGTCTGCTGTTTAAGCATTTGGTCTCTTGCTTCAGCTAGCCTCTGTTTCAAATCGTATTTACAAATAATTATGAAGACTTCTCGCAGATGTTAAGAAAAAGTGTGTGAGTGGGTTGGGGCGATATTTCATCCCTTCTAATCAATTGATGAGTTGCCATTTAAAACTTGCCTTTCTGCACAAACGTTGTTGTATACAAAGCATACTTTGTTGAGGTGATTGTTGGAACAGTTTCTTAGAAGGATCGGTTAAAATGAAAGCTGCCATTCCCTCTTCTTCAAAATCGTGAAATACCAGGCCAACTTTGGCACTGACAGCAAAATGAAGTCGTGCTGTTTGGTCCTTTTCGACCCTGCACTACTCAAGCAAAGCCTCGGCCACGTCATGCTCTTCCCCGGGTTTTCTTCGTCAACAGATTGGTATCAGCTTCATCTATGAAGATACATTCACACAACTAAATGTTCTGCATTGGCTACGCTGCATATTGATGTCTGGTGGCTTCTGTCCTATTAGAACTGTTTTCCGCGGAAGCTTCCTCTAGTTTTTGCATTGTGATCAAATTCACCTCAAAGGGACACTGCTTGTGGTTATCGTCATCTAAGTTTGAGCAGATTAAAAATGCTGCTTGTGATGAGTAGTCTGTTTAGGGATATTTAATTTGCTTTTGCAAAGTGATATTTGAACTTCCTATTGCGCTACATTTGGATTTGTTATTTGTACATTTGAACGTGTTACGCACAATCGTGCACTAACATTTCCTCTTGAACAGTTTAGACTTTCTATGTTGCGTGAAACGTTCTATGTGACATTTGAACTTGTCAAGTGACATATTTTTTACGTGTACATTTATTGATCTAAAAAAAACCCAACGATATAAAACTATTTATATCACACATAATATAGTAAAATAGTAGGTCTAGCATTGCATTTCCGATAAAATAATCCTAAGGCCTATGTTTCACATGTGAAATATAAACTGATATTTCACTTGTGAAATATGGGCAAATTTGCATAAATTAATCCGCACACTATATTCGCCTTCTATCCCTCCTGCAATCAAAGTATAGACTTGAATCATAATATTTTAAGACCGGGCATTGTTATGGCAGCCCTCTTTGCCCTGATTAAAAACTTCGTTGCGAAGCAAATTCCCCACGGGCACCAAACGAAATGCTAAACACCAGTCTTCCAGTCTCCATATCCGCTATAGTCGAGAGTACGTGCAAACCTTTTTACGTTGAACTTTATTTTGTTCCATACTGAGTCAAATTTTAATGATGGGCGCCTATAATGAACCGGCATTACGTCAGTGTGGTGCTGTTACGTTCAGTTCGTTAAACAACATCTTTTTCTCGAATCAAATCATCATCTGTTCGAAAATTTCATCTTATATGACTCTTGCCAGGTTCAGCTAAACTGTCCTCTTTCAACTTAATGTGCACAAGGGACGTTAAGGAATTGCTTTTTCAGTGCAGACATTGTAGCATCACATCAGAAAAACATATTGGGGGGACAGTGGACAATGGCCGTCCTCTAAATTTAATTTAATCAATTAATTCTCAAAGAAAACACTTAAATCTACATCAGCTGGATTAGACCATCAAATTATTGGCTTTTTTCAACATTTTCTAGTCACTTTATCAAACATTTTAAACAACACTCTTTTGTTAATTTGCATTTTCTTTTGGATATTAGGTTATATTAATTTTATCAACTATAAAAATGAATGAAAATTAAACTTTTAAACATTATGTCATAGAAAATAAATAGTTTATTAGACATTCAAGTATAACACACTTGGTTTACTTACTTTTGTGGAAAAATTAAAAGTTACTTCTCTTGTCATTCTGTAGTTGTTACCTCCCCTGGCGAAAACAAGAATTCCTGACATTGAATAGATCCCTGTGAATTCTGCAAAAACCTGACTTGGTAGACAAAAACGAACTACCTATTTGGAATCAGCTCGTCAATTTCCAAATAACTTGACAGCTTTCATTGCTAAAAATCCTTTTTTTCATCGTTGACCAATGTACTGCCATGTGCTAGCGATCAAACCCCAGCCTTTGCTTTGTTTTGGTTTAAAATCAAAGTCAAAGTCATCTCTATTCTAACGACAACATGCCATATTAATGCAGTTGCTTAATCTTCCAACTTTTAAATCGTAATTTTTCTGCTTACTTTGTTTATATATTTATGTTATTATTGTTTTGTTTGAGGGAGACATACGGATAGCACAACGTGGACATCA